AAGATGAGAGGTGTACTCTTAGGTGTATACCCAGAAGAACTCAAAACAGGTGTTCAAACAAAGACTTAGACGCAGACATTTGTAGCAGCATTATTCATGAAAACCAAAAGGTAGAAACAACCTAAAGCCCACCAACTGATGAATGGATAAGCGAAATGTGGCCTGTTCTTAACAATGGAACGTTATTCAACCACAAAGGAAAAGAGATGCACTCTACAACATGAATGAACCTTGAAAACAAACATTATGCTAAGTAAAAGAAGCTTGGCACAAGAGGACAAATACTGTATCCTTCCATATATATGACATGTCTGGGATAGGTGAGTCCATAGAGACAAAGGGTAAATTCGTGGTTGTCAGTGACTCAGGGGAAAGGGTAACAAAAGTCACTGCTTAATGGACATGGGGTTTCCTTTTGGGATGATGAAAATATCCCGGTATTAGGTAGAGGCAGTAGTTGCACAATACTGTAAATGTACTAAATGCCACTGAATTATACACTTGAAAATGGTAAATTTTAGGTTATGTAAATTTTACAATAAATTAAAAAAAAAAAAAAAACAGGAAGTAGCCCATCCAATCTCCTCTATGGGTGACCACTGGGGCTGAATAGCTCTACCCATGGGCTTTCCTAGGATACCTGTCCCTCAACACTTAGCACTGAGCAGGCAGACACTCAGAAAGACCAGGGAAGGAGGAAAACCTTTCTTTATTCTCTGTATTTTTCTCCACGAAACATGAACCTCCTGCACACCCCACCCCAGTCACTCTGTGCCCCTCACCGGAAATATATACATAACTTCCATATCCATATGCTTTATATTACATGTGATATACACATATATTGTCAAGCCCCTCCCCGCCTTTACTGTCTGTGCCTTTCCCCCTTCTCCCACACCCTAGGACTCTGCTGCATCCCTTGCCATCTCTCTAGTTCCTCCAGTCACCTCCATGTCCAGCTCAGATCTTCCCCTGATGCCCCTTCTCTGACCTCTGCCCACACATCTGGGTTTCGACAGTCCAACCAAGCAAACACTTGATTCCATTCACTCCCTCATCCTTGCCTTTCGAGTAGATCTCCAGCCTGTAAAGGCCCAGAGATGTCTTACCCCTGAGCTGGGCACATGGGAGCTCCCTGGGCACTGCCTGTTGGTTCTAAGCCCAGAACTACACTAGGGACCTCTCCCTGAGCACTCCTAGACCAACGTGGTTCATAACCTGGTGGGAATTGCCAGGAGCAGAGTGGGGTCAGTGTGTTCCCAAGAAGACCAAAGTCTACCACCTGCGAGGTGATGGTGGAGTCTCAGGTCATGTCAGCCTGACAGCCAGACCAATCTTAGATCTCCAATCAGTCCCAGGGTCCCTATTATACCAGGTCCCTTCCAGTTGTTTTAATTAAAATGGTGAGGAATCAAGAGATTGCAATTACATAAAATGAGCAGAAAATCAAGACAGTCCCTCTACCCCTACTCCCAGCAAATTTCTGGATGAGGACTGATAAGAATTAGAGTAAATTCTGGCTGAGTACAGCTGTCACCCCAGCAGAACTCTGGGTTAGCAACACAGCCTATCAGGTCAACACCAACACAATTCGAATGGACTTCTGGCTGACCACTAATACATCAGAGAAGATTCGTAGGTCAATGCTGATACTTTTAGAAGGGAATTGGGAAGACACACTAAACTATTACAGAATAAAGGTGATGGCTCTATTAGGGTAGAAAGATGGGAAGAAGCCCCTAGAAGTCAAGCTGAGAAGGAGGATCAGTGGACCCCGGACGAAAGACAGAGGCAACAACTGGTGGCCTTCATGGGCACACTCTGTCCTTCATTTCAGGCTTAGTGGGAGCGGGAGTGGACTCCCCATGGCCACCTACAGTAGGCGTGTGGATAGGACCCCACTCCTGCCTTCTGCAAAAGACCTTAGCCACAGAGACCTCAGATTCCCATGATTCGAAATTTTAGATTAAAAAGGTACAATTACTGGAGGGCTCTCTGGGTTTCCATACAGTCAAGGATGGAGCAAGGCCTTCTTGGGAAGATAGTCTGCAAACATTAAGGGTCAAGTCAACTCACTGGCCCCCAGCTAACCCCTGCCCCATGAAGGACAGGGCCCAGTTTTGCCCTTTAATTTGGGCAAATCATTATTCTTTTCCCTCATTATTCTCACTTGCAGAGCAGGTTGAGCTGAATGATATTCATCGACTCATTAGGAATCTGTTTGCGATGCTCAGAAAGTCTTCGTACTTGCTAACACTGATAGCTTATTTCTGATTACAAAAATAATACTTATTATTGAAATTTTAGAAAAGAGCAAAATATAAAAAAGAAAAAATTCCATATGATCCCATACCCAGAGGAAATTACTGTTAGCCTTTTGGAAACTTTACAAGCATTTTGGCTTGTTTTGGTTTTGTTAAAGTTTTTTGCATTCATATCACTTTTTTTTTTTTTTTTTTTTTTTGAGACAGAGCTTCACTCTTGTTGCCCAGGCTGGAGTGCAATGGCACGATCTCGGCTCACCGCAACCTCCGCCTCCTGGGTTCAGGCAATTCTCCTGCCTCAGCCTCCTGAGTAGCTGGGATTACAGGCACGCGCCACCATGCCCAGCTAATTTTTTGTATCTTTAGTAGAGACGGGGTTTCACCATGTTGACCAGGATGGTCTTGATCTCTTGACCTTGTGATCCACCCGCCTCAGCCTCCCAAAGTGCTGGGATTACAGGCTTGAGCCACCGCACCCGGCTAAATTCATATCACTTTTTTTTTTTTTTTTTGAGATGGAGTTTCGCTCTTTTTACCCAGGCTGGAGTGCAATGGCGCGATCTCGGCTCACCGCAACCTCCGCCTCCTGGGTTCAAGCAATTCTCTTGCCTCAGCCTCCTGAGTAGCTGGGATTACAGGCACGTGCCACCATGCCCAGCTAATTTTTAGTATTTTTAGTAGAGACAGGGTTTCACCGTGTTGACCAGGATGGTCTCGATCTCTTGACCTTGTGATCCACCCGCCTCGGCCTCCCAAAGTGCTGGGATTTCAGGCTTGAGCCACCGTACCCGGCTCATATCACTTTTTTAACAAAATTGGGATCATACAGTCTTCACAACTTTGTATTCTGTCATTATACTGTGAGCATTTTCCCAAGTCATTAAATATTCTTCACAAATATAATTTTAAATGACTGCATAGTACTCCACCAAGAGTATACGCCATGATTACTAAGCATTTAGGTCATCTACCTCGTACAAACAACACTACCATGAACATCCTAGCCTAGTGCTCTAAGTATACGTGCCTGCATCTCCACTTCTTCGGGATCAATTCCTCTAGGTAGAATTACAAGGTCGACAAATTGATTTTTTTTTTTTTTTTTAAACAGTCTCACTCTATTGCCCAGGCTGGAGTGCAGTGGCACGATCTCGGCTCACTGCAACCTCCATCTCCGATGTTCAAGGGAGTCTCCTGCCTCTGCCTTCCAAGTAGCTGGGATCATAGGCATGCGCCACCATCCCCGGCTAATTTTTGTATTTTTAGTAGAGACAGAGTTTTGCCACGTTGGCCAGGCTGGACTGGAACTCCTGACCTCAAGTGATCCACCTGCCTCAGCCTCCCAAGGTACTAGGATTACAGGAGTGAGCCACCGCACCTGGCCAACAAATTGATATTTTTAAAGCATCTTGACATGTATTGCCATATTAATTTCCAGAAAGACACAACAAATCCATTGATTTCCCTGAGCCAAGTGAGAGCTGAAGTTCTGAAAGAGCTGGAGTATTACAATGCAGGACAATGGTCTCGTCTCTCCTCCTTTTCCCTGCTCTTAAAAGTTAAAAAAGACAGAATTCCAACTCAAAAGATAGGGGTCTACAGCCTAGTACCCAGGACCGAGGTCTGGCTGGCTTTGGGAGCCTAAAGCGAGCCTTGGTTCTCCTCATCTGTAAAATGGGTATAGTGTGATTAGCTATGCTCTGCGGACTACCCCAGGCAGTATTCATGCTCACTGAAAATGTGTTTGTGAAAGTTCGATGCTTTGTGTTAAAGGGCCCTATTATTATCCTTCTCATAACTTGAGGGGCTGAGGAAGTAGGGTGTTCTTTGTGAAAGCCCAAGGGCTTCCCTTCCTGGCTTTCAGCCATCATGCCCAGGACAAGTGCCGCTGGTTCTGAAAGAAAAGCACCTTCCTGAGGGAATTTAGTAGGGTCTGAGGGCCCAGGAGGACATAACAGCGTCTTCCAAAGGTCAGAGGCAGCATAGGAAGCTCCAAGACAAGAATGGTGGGCTGGGAACTGTGAGACTGGGCCTAGGGCCACCCTGAAGGTGCTGAGTGGATCTGAGGGGCAGGAGTAGAAAGCAAAGACATTCCTGGTAAATAAATGTCCCTCTGTTTCAAGGCTCCCAGCCCCTCTTTTCTAGGGCTCTTGACTGGATATCTGGTCTTTGGGAAAACCAGAAATCAAACTAATTCAATGGATGTAAAAAGCCAACGGCTGCAAGGACCCCAGGAACCAGCAGCTCGGACCCTTTTTTCCAGGCTGCCGTAAGCCCATCCTGAATTCTTAAAACCCTCCCATTGGAAATGCAACTAGTGCTCTCAGCCTGGTCTCCCCAGCCCTAGGCCGATGGAAAGGAGACCGAGGTGGCGCCCTGGAGAAGCTCAGCCAGCCAGACGACCCGAGCTTCCCTCCTCACTCCCCACTCCCCTATCGATCAGGCAAACGTCCTTCCCCACCTCTTCAGGCTCGCCTAGCACCACGGCCTGAGGGGACTCCAGTGACGTTCCCAGCGCCAGCAGACAGAACTGCGCAGACCCCGCGGGACGCCATCCTCCATCACCATCGCCGCCGGCTGCCCCTCACCCCCAGCCCTCTCCACCGCCAGAGGTGCAGCCCGGGCCTCCAGACACTCACAACAGGTGTCGTATGCCAGTGCTCCCCAACCACACCTCCCTGGCCCTCTACTTGCGCCCCAGTCCTCCAGCTGCGCCCGGCCGGCCGGGGAGCCTACCTTTGAGGTTCTGGGGGTGGCCCCGCGGCGCGCGGCTCGGGTTTCCTCGGGGCAGCGAGGGGATACTGGAGAAGTTGTTACCCATGGCATCCGGCCCCAGGGGGTTCGGCGCTCGCAGGTGGGGGCGAGGCCGAGCCGGCGCAGAGGTGCGGTGCGCGAGTGTGCGCGCGCCGGTGCGCGCCGCCGGGGGAGGGCCCTGCTGGGGCTGCGGCCGGGGGCGGGAAGGCCGCTCCTCTGCTTCCTCTTCGGGACTTCGCGGTCCTTCGCGGGTCCCGCCCGCCGTGGGTGCCCTGGCGCGAGCGGGCTACCTGCCTCCCATGCCCCGCGGCGGGAGCGGGGGCCACTGGCAGGCCCCTGGGCCGGGGCCGGGGGCGCCCGGGGCTCCCCGCTTCCTCCCGGGGACGCTCGGGTTCCGGCTGAGGGTGGGCGGCGCGGCGGCTCCGGCGCGCTCCCCCCGGGCCATAGAGTCAGGGCCCCCGGCGTGGGCTCTCGGCGGCTCCGAGGCAAGCTCTGTCACCGCCCCGCAGGGACGGCCGCGGCGGCGACGTGCGTGGCGCCCTCCCGCCCGCGGGTGTGCATGGAGCGGGGCTCGGCGGAGCGCGGGGCGTGCTGGGCGCTCCCACCACGGCTGGTGTCCCCCGACCGCCGCGCTCCCGCCCGCGCCGGGTCCCTCCCGCTACCGCCGCCCCCGCCCCCAGCCCCGCGCCCCGGCCGTCGCCAGGATTCCCTCTCTCCGGTTGCTATGGTGACAGCTGCGCCGGTGAATGAGCGTCTTAGTGACACGCGCGCGCCTGCTCGGCCAGATGTGGCCCCGGGACGCGCCGCGTTCCCGTAGCTGCAAGTTCTCGGCAGCGCGAGGGCGCCGGGACGCGGCGCGGGTCGGAGTAAGACCTCCGGCGAGGATGGCGGCCCCCGGGGCTGGCCTTATTCCCAGCACGGAACCGTGGAACTTGCACTTGAAAACAAGGGGAGCAGGGCCGCGAGAACGCCGAGCTCCCCGGATGCGGGGGCGGGCGAGCCAGAGCTAACGTTCGGTTTCCCAAGCCCCAGGTACCCGGCCTGGCGCACAGTGGAAAGCTCAGGGAAACACGTCAATGAGGAGCAGATGCTTGAATAAAGGAATTGAGATTAGGACCCCGGCACCTGACTCCGGCTCTCAGCCTGAGTAGGGGCGCTAGGGCAAGGGTTCAGAGCAGGAACCCCGGGCAGTCTCCCTGCTGCACGAATGCCACTGGGGGCCTTTGAATTCCCACGGACCAGACCCACAAGCCTGGGGCTCTGGCCAAGCTCAGGGAAGAGATCTCCGGGACAGGTAATCAGAAGACTACCAGCTCTGAACTGAGTGGTTCTGTCAGCTGTAACAAGGTGAGGGAGAGGAGCCTCTGTGGCCTATGGCAGTCAAAGGAGGCTTCCTGGAGGAAGGAGGCTTCTGCAAGTGCCCTGCTCATGTGGCCAGCACATTCCTGTAACTTAGCACTGCACCAAGAATCCTGCAAGAAGAGAAAGGGAAATCATTATTCTGACTGCACCTGGGGCATCTCTCCTGGTCTATCAGGGATGGAAGATGTTCCAAGCTTTCCCCCAGGGAATCAGCCTTCCTGCTCCTCTAAGTCATCTCTAGCTCCCTGATCTGGCTTCAGCAACTCTGGTCCAGAGTCCAGTGAAGACATGGGTGGGCAGGGGCGTCTCGTTTATCTTTCCTATAATAGAAGGCTCTTTCCCGAGTCTCCATTTGGCGGGTCCTTGTTATCTAGGCAGAATTCGTGTCCTGACCTTCCCTGACAGTCCCAACTAAAGAACCCCCTCCACTCTCAGTCACTTTCCATGATATTGCATTTTATTTTCTTCATAGCTTGTATATGGAATTCATTTACAAGTAGCCTTTCCTCCTTGTTTAGCTCCTGCCTCACCTGCTAGAGCATAAGCTCTGTGAGGGGAGAGCACAGGTCAGTCATGTTCACCAGGGTGTCTCTACCCCTTGGGGGAGTGCCTGGCACATCACCGGTTCTCAGAAAATAATTGTGGAATGCGTGCTTCCTGCTGCGGGCTGGGAGACTCCACTGAGATCCTTGGGAGCAGAGCCCCCTGAACTGCCCTTTATTTCCCTTTGCTGCTCTCCTCTCTCCATCCCCATTCCAGGCATCACACCCTTAAATGTCTGGGACTCCAAGCAAGCTAGAAATATCTGTGACAGCCGCCCTCTCTCTGGGATCTGGAGGGAAAGACAGACCTGACCCCAGCCTCCAGCCTCCTGGATGCCCAGGATCACGTGTGCAAGCAGCTGCAGATGGCCACAGCAGGTCAGGGATAGTTGTCTTATTTATGGGCAGTATCTTCCTAAAGCTCACTCCCAGCTAATGACTCATGCGTCAGAAATCCGTGGGCTCTGAATGGCAACACACTCACACATGTGCACACACACACTACTACACACACACTTACATTCCCCCTGAAATCTGCTGGAATGAAGTCACTGTCAGTGGCCACTATGATCAGGACTTTCACAAGTTAGAACAAATATGAGGACTTTCCATAGTTCTAATTCATTCCCCTGAAGTGTGTGTGACGTACAAGGGCCTTGCTAGGATTTACAGACAGTGGCTCCAGGGAAGCCCAGCGTGGGCAAAGGAATGGGGAGGGGATGAGGCCCCAAAGGTAGAGCATGGCCCAGATTTCTCAAACTCCTGACCTCAGGTGATCCACCCGCCTCGGCCTCCCAAAGTGCCCGGATTACAGGCGTGAACCACCTTGCCCTGCCAGGGGATGTCACAGGCCCCACGTGGCCTAGACCTGGGGTTATGGGCAAAGCAGGGGAGAGAAAAAGAAGGTCAAAGGGAAGGAGGGAAGTGAGAGCCGGAGGTGGGCGCTCACCTGAGTCCAGAGGCAGCCCCGGTTCTGCAGCACAGGGCAGCCTGATTCCAGGGAGTCCTAAAGGAAGATGAGAGGCATCAGGGACAAAGGCAGGGAAATGAGAGTTGAGGAGTTGATGGGAGGATCAATAGGGCTGATATAGGATGAAGCAGCCAAGGCATCCCTGGTACAAAATTGAAGGAAGTGTTCACTCCCAAGGTCATGCAGATACCAACCTTGCACTTGCACGAGCCTGGGAATGAGGGCCTCTTACATTTCACCCCCTAGGCCCACCCCTGACCCCAGCTTCCACCCTGCTCCTTCAGGGAGCTCTGAACTGGAACAGAGGACACCACTGGCAGTGTCAACTAGGTCTCTGGCCAGGAAGGGACCTAGAGGAGGTTGATGTGGCTGCATAGGACCCAGAGAAGCTGAGCGCCACCCTTCTGAGGAGTCCTGTGCCCTAGAAACTCTTCCCTGACAGGGACTTGGGGTAGGCCTAGCTCAAAGGGTCAAAGAAGGCCAGCACTCTCTGTACCCCCAGACCTTGGGCAGAACCTGACACCTTCCTGCCATCCTTCCCCAAGGCAGCTGCTGGGAAACATGGGATGGGGGACAAGCTGGGTGGTGGCTCTGATCCAGAGGACCCTTCCCAGCCCCATCCTAGAAGGGAAGAGGGAGAAGGACCCTGCCAGGGAGACTGGGCTGGGGGAAGCTATTAATACCCACAAGGTGGTGTTCCAGCACTAGTCACCGTGGCAACACCCACCCACCCCCAGCAGTGTGGATTCTGCGGGCAGTGCCTGACAGGGTGGGTGTCAGTGCATACATGTGCACTTCTGCGAACACCTGAGCCCTTGTATGTGCATGCATAGGTGTTGTGAGTGCACACACAGGCATGCAGGACAGGAAGGTTTCTTTTCTTTTTTTTTTTTTTTTAAGAGAGTCTTGCCCAGTGGGAGTGCAGTGGCACGATCTCGGCTCACTACAGTCTTACAACCTCTGCCTCCTGGGGTCAAGCAGTTTTCCAGCCTCAGCCTCAGCTTCCTGAGTAGTTGGGACCACAGACACACACCACCACCACATCTGGCCAATTTTTGTCTTTTTAATTGTTGGCCAGGCTGGTCTTGAACTCCTGACTTCAAGTGATCCGCCCTCCTTAGCCTCCCAAAGTGCTGGGATTACAGGCATGAGCCACCGCGCCCCGCCGTTTATGTTTTTTAGAAGATGAGGTCTCCGTTTGTTGCTCAGGCTGGTCTTGAACTCCTGGCTTCAGATCCCGACTAGGCTTCCCAAAGCACTGGGATTATAGGCATGTGCCACCATGTCCACCCAGCCACCATAGTTAATCATGCTATCAGAAAAGCTGTGGGGGGAGGGGTGGTGTCCTACCTGAACTTCCAGGAGTTGGGGGACAAGTTGGAGGGGTACATCCCTGAGTGCCTGCGCCTGATGCTTAGTGTATACTCAATAGCTAGTTACCAAATGAATCCATGAATAAAAAAAAAAAAGAATGGATTAAGCTGTCAGGCCCTCCCTCTGAAGGATGGAAGTCTGTGCTGCCCATGCTAGCATGGAATGGACCCTATGCCATCTTATTCCCAGGTATTTTTGGGATTCGGCTTCACTCATTGCCCAGTGACCATTTATTGAGCATTACCTGTGTGCCTGGCACCGAGCGAGGTACAGTTTCCTTGCTGGCACCATGGGGCAGCCTGTCCTCTGCTTTTTGTGCATGCCAGTCCCAGTTCCCCACCTCCCAGGCCCAGGTTCAGAGCTGAACACATGGTAGGTCTGATCACATTTATAGGCTGGGCAGGTTGCTTTAAACCTTTTTCATCATGTACCCTTAGCAGTAATAAATTTTTTTTTTTTTTTTTTTTTTTTTTTTAGACAGAGTTTCGCTCTTGTTACCCAGGCTGGAGTGCAATGGCGTGATCTCGGCTCACCGCAACCTCCGCCTCCTGGGTTGAGGCAATTCTCCTGCCTCAGCCTCCTGAGTAGCTGGGATCACAGGCATGCGCCACCATGCCCAGCTAATTTTTGTATTTTTAGTAGAGACGGGGTTTCACCATGTTGACCAGGATAGTCTCTATCTCTTGACCTCGTGATCCACTTGCCTCGGCCTCCCAAAGTGCTGGGATTACAGGCTTGAGCCACTGCGCCTGGCAGCAGTAATAAATTTTTAAAGCATGTACACTAATATATGTGTATTTCTTTATTTACAATTTCTATATATACCCTACTGCATTCACATTGTGTATATTATTAAACATACACGAAATAGACTAATGAGATTGAGAAATGAATCATCTTGCCCTCCTCCTGGAGTACACACATGCTCTAGACTAATAATTCTCAAACTTAGATGTGTATCAGAATCATCTATGAGGCCTTGGGGAGAGGGGGAGAAAGTTACTAAAATGCAAATTCCCATACCTCACCCCGAGAGATTTATATTGAGCAGAGTCTGATCAGGTCATTTACTGATCACACCTAGGGAACTGCTCCACATGGTCACGTGTTCTAGTTGTGAGGATGGTGTTTCAAGAAGGCCTACTTTCCCTGAGAAAGCTGGACACCCCATGGGGACCAGGCCAGTACTGGCTGCCACCCAAGCAGGGCTAACCTTATTGGAAGAGG